TAAATGTGGAGGGGTACACCGGTAGAGGTAGACCTAGAAAGAGATGGATGGATTTGCGTGAAAGGTGACATGATCATAAAGGGATGACAGATGACGGATGATAGAGTTATTTGGATGACGAAACCCCGGTGCTCCGACCCTACGAGAGTAGGATAAGGCAGGGGAGATGATGATGACTAGATAACCTCAATGGTACTCTAAGTTGATTACATACGAGTAATCTACAAGAATATCTAAATAGACCACTGAAATTAAGTTTCAATTGTCCACGATTCTATATTCTACATTATTTTTAAATCCTACCGTTGCATTGAAATGGGAAATAAACTGCAAAGCAAAGTCGTGCCCCTCATTAAAGGCCTTATATTTGACTATTTGCTGAAAGTGGAACATAAACATATCCCGAGTTGGGTGAAATAATCTACAGCTACGTATGTTATAATGTGTAATTTCGTGTGGTCCAAGGTAAAAGCTATTTCTGATTCTGCCCATTAGACGTGTTCTGACAGTTTTATGTAAAGAATCAAACTGTTAAGTCAAAACTGTACATGTGTGGTAATACTGTAACTAAATACAGAAGCCTGAACAGTTCGACTTTTCAAATAAAAACTGATATATGAATAAATCTGACTTTAGGAATTCTTACTTCTTAATTCGATGACATCATTCCACCGATAGTCTTTATGTAACAAATTAAGTAATTTTTCTCACATAAGTTATGTTGGTCTGCTTTTTAAAAAATAATTTAAATATCAAAGCAAAAATAAGTGGTATCTAAATATTTTTATTGCCATTCTGTACTACTATATTTTGAAAACAACAACATGTTCTATATATGCTTTTAATATAATATATATCATCGTCACCTTCCCCATATCCCTTATGGAGGGTCGGCACAGTATGTGCTGCTCCATACATTATCAGCCGTCATATCTGAATCCACTCCTTTCTTTAGCATATCCTCTGTCACACAATCCATCCATACTTTCTTTGGTCTTCCTCTTCTTTTGTAGCCATTTACATTCATTCTTAACACTTTCTGGTTTATGTAATCTTACTAATATTATAAATGCGAAAGTTTAGATGGATGGATGGATGGATAGATGGATGTTTGTTAGAGTTTGCAGCCCAAACGGCTGAACGGATCTCGATGAAATTTGGCATAGACGTAGAGAATAGTCTGGAAGAACATATAGGCTACTCACTTTTGCTTTTTTTTAATTCCACGCGGACGGAGTCGCGGGCGAAAGCTCGTATAATATATATCATGTAACTATAACAGTACAATCTAAATTAAAATATCTTTTGAACTCTATTCGTCATTCAAATATAAAATAACGTTATAAGAACTCAAGTTTAAACTTAAGCGTTAAAATGATGTCACGAAATTAGCATACAATAGTTCATTTATTCTGATCTTCAGAACGCGTTTTCTTATTGATCACTGACATGGTAGTGACATTGTCTTCTATACGTCGGAATGAACCATTCTTTCTAACTGTAGATAGTACTATTGTGATATAACCTATACTTTCATTATTGCTTAACAAAACTGAGAACATAGCATTTATTTTTTTGTAACTATATCTACATTGATTTGATGTAGATATAATTATGTTTGTTGTGTTCCTGCATTTAGTTTGATATCTAAAATAATTTAAACAACGACAAAAGTCTTGTCTATTTCAAATTTTGGACATGGCCAATTTATTACACAATAAACTGTATTGTGTCACTTTATTTCACCGTATATAGTTAAATAGCTTTCTTTGCTTAATTTCTTTCTTCTTTCTTAATTCATGCTTAATTTAAAAAACAACTTAGAAGTAGCCTATATGTTGTGCCAGACCTTGTTGTACATCTGTGCCAAATATCATAACCATATAGATCGGTTCAGCAGTTTAAGTTATAAACTCTAACAAACATCCATCCAAACTTTCGCATGTATAATATTAGTAAGAGAGAATGACTATGTTTTAATAACAAAGTATTAGGAAACCGAATTAGATGCTCGTTAAATTGTTACCCGCTTAAGCGTATGCATTTCACCATCGACGCGAGCCATTCGACAGCCTGCGTTCAACTTCTGTGCACAACAAACACAGTATAAATAGAGCTGACACTCAGCCGGACAGCTATTAATATTACGCTTCTGTTTATTCCTAGCTCTGTCGCCTGTAAGTGACGTTATTCATAACTCTGTAGCGCGACATCTGTCGGACGTTGTGACAGTTTGTTGGATATATTGCTATTTGAATTGATAAGTTAAAGATAAGGAAGACTGTCTTCTCTTAAATGTTGCTTACACAGGGCACACCTTTGAATAAACTATCGCAGAACTGTTGTGCGATTGTCAATTGTTTCACAGTCTAATCAACTGTTTAGTTACACTAAAAATCGAGTAATGTACACCTCCATATAAGTTGAACGATACTATAGTTTCAAGTCTGCATTTTTTTTCTCACATTCTCATATTTTAAAACGTTTGTATTGGACTCGTTTAAATATCCTTTCCAATGTAACAACATCCTTTCAAGTCACATAGTTCGCATATCGTGGAGTTTTTCTCATGATTATATTGCACTCCTAAATGATACTGTTTTAATATCTTTTATTACATTAGTTTTACAATGTCCCTCTATTTGTAACTGCTCTGAGCTGTTAGGAACATAATTGCGTATACCCTTGTGTGTTTAGGACTGCTCTGTGGTAGGACCAAACATCACATCTACTTATATACCTCAATGCCTATGGGCTATACCCGTACTTTATTACATAATTAAGGAATCTGTTCTATTATAATAAAGCGTAAACACACACTTCTTTGTTGCCTAAGATGTCAGCAATTACGGCATATTTTTGAATAATTCTTATTTTAATAAAAAGCCCTACACTTACGTCACGCTTTAGGCTACATATTTTCACGCTATTAAACTTAGGGGTAAATATTTTGGATAAAAACTCTAATGTGGGAAAGAGACAGTTGCTGCCAACATCACGGAAGCAAAATTGCCATGCTTTGTCATCATATTATGTCTGTCATTTTGACATTTGCAATTGAATTTGACAAATGTAATCAATAAAACAATTTTAATTATTTCATGCGAATGAAGTCGTACGGGAACAGCTAATTAAGGAATAAAGCTAATAATTAAATCATCATTACCGTGACTCAAGTAAATATCCATAAGTTGTGGTCTAAAGACAATAGTAACTGATATGCTTGAGGTAAATTGACGCAAGTTTTTGTTCCGTTTCCAATTTGGGAACACTTAAAGAATAAACGCTATTCAAGCTATCAAAACTACGAGTTTATCTTTACGCTTGGAGGTACTATCGGTGAGTTTTGCGGTGTTAAAATCGACAGTGTTTTGAAATTATACGTACACTAATAAAATACTAATCAATAGGATGCAGATTTTAAATGTCTCTGCAAAACAGTTGATCAGTGGCTTATTGCTTTTAGTACTATCCCTTCATATGCAACTCAATGTTACTTATTGGTTATTTGTAAGGGCTCTAACTGTACCTGGTCTATCTATGAAACTATGATTGAATTTCGTAGTTTTTTTTTATATTATCTAGTAATAAACAAGGAAGTAGCCGCCTGAATCCACTGAAATGGCAAAGAGACCACTACCCGCAGAGATCCGAATTTGCAGATGCGTTTAATTAACGGAAGAGGAGAAGCATAAACAGGATATTTCCCCTTCCTATGCGTCTTCTACGCCATCAAATCAACTTTCCTCTTAAGAAAACGGTGTAAAGGACTAAAATTAGGCCTGGTTATTGCAAGCCGATGTAATTTATATGTGAATACTTACTTCAAGAGATAGTTTGGACATATCAACAGGGGTGATCCGCTTGAGGGCCGATAGTCGCTGCAGCCGCTGGCGGGCGCGCTCCTCCACCGCGATGAGGAACGCATCTTGCACGATGTTGTGGCCGATGTCCGACACTGTAACGTAAAATAAACATATCAAGAACATTCTAGAAGTATAAATGATTTCAGAAGACGAATACTAAAACTACATTTTGTGTGTAACGTCATAAATGATAACGTCAAGCTTAACTGAAAATTCCATTGAAATTATGACGCCTATCATATTGTAAGCAACGCATATAAGTATATGTTAAGATTTGTTTTAGTATTCGGTCGTTAAACCGACGGACATACTAAAAAGAACTTCATTAAATTAACTTGAACTAACTAGTTATTAAATTTCCGTCAAATGGAATACTCCATAGTGTAACATGTAACAGCAGGAACGCTCGTCTATTTCGCATTACATAACCAACGCTAGTTCAATTACATTCATATTCAACAAGCATCCCAACATTCCTCCAGTCCTACAGTCAACAACGCAGTACGTCACACCCTTCAGTAACACTGCACTCGACTATTGTCCTTAATCTAAGGTAGTGTCGTCTATAATTGGTTGCGAGATTCAATTAACTGTGAACATGCTACGTTGCCTAGTGTACCGTGACGCCCTCTCAATGAATACGGATTCATAAGAGCACGTACACACGGGCGTTGCGATTTGCAGCTAATGTATTGTAATATGGCCAACAATCAAATCATTTACTATTTATTTTGTAAGCTTACCATTGCACCATAGGCTACCAAAGTAGGTTAGTATTTGTTCAACCCGGTTCAACTAATAATTTTAAAATTTAATCTACATTTCTGTTTTAAACATTACTAGCTGTTCCCGTGAGGCTTCACCCGCATAAAATTATAAAAACTCTATTTTATTGTTTACATTTTTTAATTATCAATTACAAATGTCAAAATGACATGACATAATGACAACCTTGCTTCCTTGATGTTGGCAGCAACTTATGGTCTCTTTCCCACATTAGGGTTTTTATCCAAAATATTTACTCCCTAAGTTTAATGGCGTTAAAATATATAGTCTAAAGCGTGATGCAAGTGTAGGGCTTTTAATTAAAAAAAGAAATATTCAAAAATATGTTGTAATTGCTAACATCTTAGGCAACAAAGAAGTGTGTGTTTACGCTTTATTATAATAGTATAAATAATGATTTGCATGTAATATTTTCAGTGTCTGTTGCAATCTAAGGTAAATTCCGTAAGCTTTATGATTTAACACTTCCTTTTTTATTATTCCTAGTTAAGTTCCGAATCTAGCAGTCACGATGTGATATTTATTTATTTACTGTATGCAAAATAAGATTCCTAATTGACATAAATGGTTTGTAACTGTTAATAACCGCATGAATCGGTCTCCAGTATGGACGTACCCTAACTTGGACACCGGCGGAATAATAATTTTGAACCCGATTCACAATTGCGCATCATGCGATGTTGCCAGTACCTTTATATGTTATCAAGATCACAGAAAAAAACAATTAAAACAATTTGCAAAATCTCATTCAAATTATAAAGAGATTCACATCAAATATGTATCTTAAATACCTAATCTCGGTACATGTTTTAAAATTTATTTATGAAATGCTTTCCCAATCAAGATTTACCATAATTCTGGTAAAACAGAGACTTTGTTAGTACAAAAATAGACTTTTTCAAGCTGTATCGTTGTTCCAACAAGCAGTACAGAATCGATAGCCCACTCAACAACCATTGTACTCAATCTGAAAGGAGCCTCCGATACTGCAAGTGATCGTGCATAAGATGTCTTTGTTCAACACAATTAAAAACGAAAAGTGGTACAATTAAAATCTCAAAACGAGATGTTGTTACCTCTTAACGTGGGCTTCCTAGTGCCACAAATTCCACAGTACAGGAAGTTAATTTCCAACCCATTTTAAGGAAATTCTCTTTGACTGTAAAATCCTGTTTATTTTATGAAAATAAAGGAGTGTTTTAGGTGTTTCGGATTAATAAAATAAATATAACAGGAGTGGGATATTTCTTTCATTATGTAACATTTAGAGCATGCTAAAAATTGATACAATATTTTTTTTTATTCATAATAAAAACTCGAAAGTACTGGCAGGACATGATTATCACCGCAGCGGTTTGTTGCAATATTTTGGAGTATCTTATTGCTTAAAGAATAACGACCAGTTTCGTATATCATAGTTTGTTTTGTAATTAATGTTTGCATAACAATAGTGTTATATGACAGAACTATTATTTAAATTCAGTTAATAACTAGTTACTGTTAAAAGCCGGTTATAGCAGTTATTTAGGTAGCAGTTGGCGGTTGCCAAACTTGCCACCGATATTACGATATTACAAATAAACATTTTGCACTATAATGTAAAAAGGTAGCTTATCTATACTTCTATATCTATACTATTATACTAAAAAGAAAACACACACTTCTATGTTGCCTAAGATGACAGCAATTACAGCATATTTTTGAATTATTCTTTTTTTATTAAAAAGCCCTACACTTACGTCAGGCTTTAGGCTATATATTTTCACGCCATTAAACTTAGGAGGTAATTATTTTGGATAAACACCCTAATGTGGAAAAGAGACCATAAGTTGCTGTCAACATCAAGAAGGAAAGATTGCTAAGGTTTGTCATGTCATTTTGACATTTGCTATTGATAATTTGACAAATGTAAACAATAAAATAATGTTTTTTATAATTTTACGCGGATGAAGCCGCAAGGGAACAGCTAGTTTAAATGTAAATTGACATACATTACATATGAATTCACGCTTTCAAAGGTTTTCTAATGTGTTTGTCTTACGCTCCCAAAACTCTGTTCAACGGGAAAATCAACACGAGGTAAAGTAAGTTTTACGTACAAACTTACGTTCCTCAAACTCTCGTAGTTACAACTGCTGACTGTTCATGTAATCAATTCTGTGCGATATTATCCGTTTTTTCGTTAAAAACTATTAACAAAGAGCGTATTTTAAACTCAACTATCTATTTTTAAGTACTAAAAATGATCCTAGTTAAGAGATATAGGCGATTTAAAAGAATACTGCATCAAAATCGAAAATATACTCTAAAAACAATAACATAGAACATTAATTTATTTGATAACTGATTGCTAATATTGATACCACTAGGTTAAAAATCAGAAAGTAATCAAGAACATTTAGTCAAAAGGAAACAACACCTTCTTTATTTGAAATAAAGTTCAAAATCAAATACTAGTCTAGCGTATGTTGGTCAGTTAGTCCGAACGACTTGAAACCCGTTCTAGACATTCCTCTACAAATATAAACAACGGTACACAAAGTGAACATCTCGGTGGCAAAAACAAGTGCAAGTAAAGCGTTAAAACTGTGCATGTGCGAATTCAAATGTGAACGTAATTCTCGTCCCCAATACAGAGCCGGCGTTGAATTAAGCCCGGTTGGACGACCGCCCAGGGCTGGACTGAAAGGGGCGACACCGGTCTGCGAATAAGTCTCACAAATCTCAAAGCGCTAAGTAGCATTAAGAACTGCTTCAATTCATTCAACAAATAGTATACGGCAGTAACAAAAAATAAATTATCAACTTGTTCCTATTTATTTCGGTATTAATGCAAGATATATTATTTATAGGGATTTTATCGACATTATTTTTTTTTACTCAGTTTAATACCAAGTGATTAATAGAGGTCTTATATTGATTTCTTCAAAAAAACCTAACAGTTATTAATAACATGAACCAACGAACAAACAATTTGTACAGTAAAGCATACAAATTAATAATTTCAAATTGAAAACGAAACAGATTAAAAAATTATATATCTGCCTACAAATCTATTTGCGTTGCAACACTAGTTGTAGGGCAACGACCAATTTGCCCACGCATCGCCGCGTCTAGACTTGACCACAGACATGCGGCACTAGCGCCAAAGTTAAACACAACGTTATATCGCTATTTCTGGCTGCTATTATGCTATTTTAATAAGAGTTAAATACATCCATCTAAAATGGAGCAAAGCTGTTCTTGTTGTGCATTATATTTTTAAATGTCAATGCCATTTGCAGATAAAGTTAAATGAGAATACTACTAATAACTAGTAATAATAATTTTAATCCCTTTCCGTTTCCAGTATTTTCCTAAGAGGAAAGGATGGGAAGGAAAAGTGGATTTAATGGTGAAGCAGACGCATAGGACGGGAAAATGTTCTCTTTATGTGCGTCTCGTCCGTCAACAATGAAGGGTAGGGAACTCATTTTCAATTGCAGATGTTTATGGGCAGCGGTCGCTTTCCATTTCGGTGGATTCAGGTGGCCGCTTTCTCGTTTGCCACCTTATGGATAAAATAAAACATTTTTTATAATTTAGACGAAAAATCGATTTAAATATAATGTAATTAGTTAATTTATTATCAGTTAAAATCTAGTATTTTACCAAGACGTATGTATTATTGTGTTCTTCGATATATTACTAATAAGCAGTAGTTACAGGTTAACGGGAAAACGACGTGACTAAAGACAACGTACCGAGACCACATCACACCGTTACGAACCCCAATCGGGTAATAGCAACGAAGTAACGACCCGTGCCGAGGCTTCTGAAGGAGCCCTTGAGCATAGTTACTCATAAACGAGGTTTCGGCTGAACACCTTCGGCTCTCGCCCACCTCTGAAATCTCTCTCAAATGCCTCTTCAAGGCAAACAGTGGAGATTCAGTCACAAAAAAGCCGTTACGAACAAACGTACCTCACAAATCTTACGTATCTTGAGTTTGACTCTATTAAAACGTTGTTCAAACTAACATTAAGAAATCGCCAAGTAATAAATAAGTGGTAACTTCAGATACCTAGCACTAGATTCATTAGTGTTAGGTTGAACTAAGTTTCAATGGAATAAAAAGTTACGGAGTTCGGAAACGCATATCATGAAGATATCGAACCAATAACACTTATTGTTAAAAATAACCGGGAAACCGGCCATATATGTATAATGTTAATATATGTATAATGCTTTGGAGAAAATACGAATTTAATCTCCAGGAGGTCAAATTTTAATGACACGAACATATACGCTTGCTTTCAGTCGTTCA